ACCAGAAAGCTTTAGGCACTATGAGGGCACTCTGGGAAGATGGCTGAGGCTGCCTGGGAGAGGAAAATTAGGGGCAAGTCTGGAAGTGGGGAGACTGATTATGGGGCTCTTTCTTTATCGAGGTGCATGGTGACTGAGGCTAGGACCGGGGATGACGGGGTGGGGTGAGGTGGGGTGAGATGGTTGGACTTGAAATGTGTTCATTGTTAAAGCTGCTCGACTTACTGACTCATCGGTTTGAGGGGTTGAATAAGAGACCAGAGCAGGACCAAGGCTGGCTTTAGGCTCTTGTCCTGAACTGGCATCAGGGGAAGAGAAGGCAGGTTTGGGAGCGGGTGTGGGAGTTGGAGCTTATCCTTTTCCAGAGCAACCACAAAAGCTCTCAGGGTTGCCAGGGAGGCCGCTTTTCCTTGGGCGAGAAAGCTCAGCTAAGCCATGGGCACTTAGGAAGCATCTGTATTTATATTTGTGCTGGAATATCCCCTGACCCCTGTGACTTTGCACTTCTGGGGGGCTTACCACACGCTCCAAGTAGCTATCGAGTCTCAGCCTGCTTTTCTCTTGTGGGCCCCGAACCTCTGCTCTGTGCCAGTCGGGAGGGGGTGTCCTCTACCCACATCACAGCTCATTCCTGCTCTGCAGACTGCCAGCGTGACCCTCGGTGCCAGCCTGGGTGAGCTCAGCTCCGCCACTGGGCCATTTTTGTACAGCCCTGGAAGTGTCTCTCCTGGTGATCAGGCCATGAAGCTCAGTGTCTCCAAGGCACTGTAAACCTGGTACACAATCCATGAAAACTTCAGAGCCAAGCTGGGATTCTCATCCCTGGAAGTCCTCCAGCCCAGCCTCTCGCTCTGTCAAGAGCAATCTTCTGCGGCAAGTGGCCCCTGACCTCAATCTTTTCCACCGTGGGGTGCTCACCACTTCAGAAGGAGTATGTTGCTTTGCTCTAGAGCTCCAAGCATTAGAACTTTCTCTAGCTGGGCATCCTTGGAAATTCTGAGTGGTGCTGGTTCTGCCCTGGAGGCACCCCGGTCCATCCCTCTCCACATCTAGTCTTCAATGAGATAGTGAAGATTGCATTTCTGCCCTGTCGTCTTCTCTGCACTCCCTGCCCCCCACCCCAAAACGTCATTCTTATTTTCATACCAGACATGAATTCTGGAAACCTCGCCGTGGTCTCCACCCTCCTCGGGAGCCGTGGTAGTTCATTCCTCTCAGATGAGCGGCCTCTTGGAAATGAAGCCAGTTCTTCCAGTGCAATGTAAGGCGTCCTTCCTGCCCCTGACATTTTGTCTGTCTTCCATTTTGTCTGTCTCAGGTGACAGTACTGCTGATTGGGAGTGATTTCCCTTTTCTCAAATAGCTATTATTGCCTGAAAGTCTCTTCAGCTGATTTGTTTTTAATTGAGTGATCTCTGAGCTTTGAATAGAGCAGTATAGCCTCATTTGGATTCCTGAGTAAGGAGGTTTTTCCTGCCTCACTGTCACTGAGGTAGTTCCTCACCCCAAGAACTCATTCCTGTTCCCCACCTTGCCCAGCCCTGTGGGAACGGGCGACTGCTTTTGCTGCTGTCCACCTCTGGGGAGGGTGAGGCGGTGCGGGGTTAATAGTTCTCATTTCTTGCTCAGGAGTTGCTGTGATGGGGAGCCGAGGGTCTTTGTCACTATGACCTAAAGCATAATGAAGCGGTGGGGCTTGGCGGGACTCCAGATTGGGCAGAGTTGAGTCGGTAGAGCTACAGCAGAGACCTGTCTGGGGACAGACCCAGAACTCCCCTGAGAAGAGGTGGTTTAAAGCCCAGCTTTTGGGGGGCCAGAGGGCCCACCGGACTCCCTTTGAGCAGAGGAAGATGCAGTAACTCCTGGGCTCCGGTGTAGCCCTGCTCCTAGGCTGGGAGAGGGCCACACCAAAATAGGTGCCTTAAAGCTTCTGGAGAAGTGACCACCTGGGGAAAGGGCGAGGATGTGTCACTGGACACTTGGTGCAGTACCAGCGAGTGCAGAGAGTACAGTGACTGGCCCCTGATGGGTCTGCCTTGGGCTCGCTGCCCCACAAGACCCAGCGTGGGGTATTTGGGGAGGCTGGGCCCAGAAGGATCTTGATAGACTAGTGACAAGGGGCTCGTTTGTTGTTCTGCAAGATGCAAGTGTCAGGGCTGCACAGCCAGGCAAGGGCAGCAGGCGCTCCAGGGGGAGCGGAGACCTGGAGCCGCTGCTGCGACCTGGAACAATAGGTGCTTTCTGCTCCTTTATTTATTTAATTCAAAGAGTCGCGCCTGCACGTGGGGAACCGCAGCAGACAATGTACAATTGAACACCTCTTTTCTGCCAGCCCCTTACCCCCTCACCAGTAGCCACTGTTAACACTATCTTGTGTATCCTTTCCAAAAACCTTAATGCATATTCAAGCCTATATTTTATCCAAATGGAATCATGCTATATTGTTCTGCAGCTTGCTTTTTTTCACTTTAATAATATGTCTTGGAGTTCTCTCTCTGTCAGCACATATAAACCTTTCCCATTCTTGTTAACGATCGCATACCTAAAATCATAGATTCTTCAAGCTGGAAAGAACCTTCGAATCAATGTGATCTAATTGCCTCATTTTACTAGAATCTGGAGAGGTGAGGTGACTTGCCCGAGGGCACAGTGAGTAGTGAAAGGGAAGGATTCCTCCGAGAGCTATTTGGAAGGAAGAGCTTGGGCTGAGGGCCCGGAGCGGGTGACAGATAGGAGTGACCAGCGCTGGCTGGCTGCTTTTCATCAGCATCATTATCTACATCCATCATTCTGGGCTGCTGGCAGCAGGGGGAAGGGCAGGAGGCCAGAGAGGAAACGCTGGCCCTTCCACACACACACTTGTGTTTGATATACAAGGTATTTGAGTGGAAATATCATGTGGGCCAGTAGAAATGTGTGTTCAAGTCCCGTTGGTGAAGTTCAACACACCCCACCCCATGCCCCCCCCCCATCACCAGCGCATCTTGATCAAGAGAACAGACCACCCATCATTGGGGAGCAAGTTTATTCCTAGAAGCCTCCAGATCTGCATGTGCTCTTTTATAGTTCTTGTTAGACGTTGAAGCAGAGTGTGGTGGCAGGAGACTGTGACTCCTCCAGGCTCGGAACATAAACCTTTGCTTAGATTGCTGACCCCACCCCCACTGCTGCCGCAGCAGCTCCTGTGGCTGGTTGAGGACAGGAGGTGAGTCAGAGGGGACTCCTGCCTGCACACATTTATACCCATGCACCCTCCTGCAGGTGAGAGCTGGGAGGGACCTTAGAGATGACTAAGCAGCTCGACCCACCCCAAAGGGTGTTTGCCCCAAGCTTTCTACATGCCCCCCACTCAGGGTGTGACTCCCCCAGGGCTTGCTTACTCCCTTGCTGGAGTGTAGGATATTTGACTATAGACTAGAAAGGGCACATCTTCCTGGAGCATCAATTTTACATGAAGCTTCGGGGATAGAAATGCTATTTTTATATTAAAGCAAACACGTATTATGGAAAAGCATGGAAAATTCAAGTTACTTTTTAAGATAAAACAGGCAATTTCAAAGCAATTTTATCCTCCTTGCCGTGGGCAACTTCACGCTCTTCCCGCAGGCCTCCAGGGCACGTGTCCTGGCTCCTGTGCTGTTTGGAATTTTGTTGGAAAGTGTTTACATTGGGATGCTTTCCACTAGAAGATGCAAGTGTGTCTTAAAGACGTGCCCGGAGAGCGGCCTGTATGTCGCTCTGGCCTGGCCTCTGCTCCTCCCTGTGGGGCTGGATTCACTGCCTCCCATAAGCCCCTCTCCATGTTTTCTCTTGTCTCTGTTTCTCTCCCATGAGAAACTTTGGTTTGCTTTGATCCTGACCCACCCTAACAACTTCCTCTTGTGCTCCTTCCATTGCCAACTGGCCACCTGCTTCTCTGCTTATTCCCCAAAAGAGCGCTGATTGGCCCAGCTCATATTCTCATATGCCAACCCATGGCCTGCCCTTTGGCCCTCTCTCTAGAGTCAGGGGGCCAGGGGGGCCTTCTGGTGAGAACCTGTTCCCTCAGGCTTTTGCTTCTGGACAGGCCTAAGAGGGGGATATTTGTGATGGCTCAGTCTATCTCTGTGTGGCACAGAGAATGGGAGACCCCAAAAGGGAGGCATCAGTCAGCATGGTGGGTGTCTCCACTCCTTAGCGCATCCTCTCTACCACCTGAAATGTCTTCCCTAGTGAGAAACTCGTGGGCCATCTCACTTCACTAACAGCATCCAGGCAGATGCCTTTTCCCACTCAGCCAGCCATGGCATGAAGATGGTCACCTGGCCAGAAGCTGGGTCAGCACAACCTGAGAACCAGAGGTCAAGGGGAACAGGGCCTGCATGGGGGAGCGGGGTGAGGCGCTCCTACTCACCACAGCCACTCGCCTTACCTTTCCAGCAGAACTGCCCTCTCTGTTCAGTCAGGAGAGGCTGGTGGGGCTTCTGAGCCATTAATCCTCACGTATCTCCCTGCACTGTGAGCAGGGCAAGCTGCCTTCACAGCAATGTCATGGTATCAGCAGATAGCAACTCTAAAATATTTTTCTCCTCTTGCACTAATAGGGTGGGGGTGCAGGGGGTTAATGTGCTGGAGCTGGGGCACTCTTTCAACTAGGCGTCGCTGTTAATAGAGCAGGCCTGCCTTTTCACCCGCGTTGCGTCTGCTCCTCCTTCCTGCCTTTGTACAGCAGGCGTTTAGTTTACGCTCTGTTGTCTGATAGCCACTGTGCTTGGGCTAGTGGTGGTGGAATCAGGCAGGGTGGAGTTTGGATCTTGCCTCCGCAACTCACTGGGCCCCGTGACCTTGGCCCCTAACTCTCTGTGTCCATCTTCTCATCTGTGAAAAGGAGGCCCTGTTCTGGGGTTCTCTGGCTGATAACATTCCGGATCATTTGTAACTAGCGTTGAGAGTCACTGGCCATCCTGACCCATTTTGCTCTGTCCCCCTAGGGCCCATGATCAGCTCTGTCTCCACTGTGCCTGGAAAGTTCCTCTTTTCCCTTCCCCCAGCTGACCCCTGTCTTAGGCCCGGCTTAGATACCCCAGCAGCCTCCTGCGCAGACAGTCCTAGTGCTTCCCCTGAGTAGGCCTGTGGCCTTGGATGAGTCTTTTGACTTCTGTGACCCCCCCAGTCTTCATCTGCAGGATAGAGAGCACAGGAACTATCTTATGGGGAGCCAGTGAGGATTCCGTCCGCCTATCTCACCAGTACTCACCTTCACTACAGGAGGCTTTGGCTGCCTTGGGCAAGGGATCTCAGGGCTGCGGTGCCAGCATGAGATCACCCCTAGTCCTCTCAGTCGCCAGCCCAGCTTCCCTCCCTGCCCGACCTCCCTTCTGAAGAACTCATTCTGGGGATGAAGTCTGTCTGGGACTGAGACTTCCCCGTTCTTTCTGAGCAAAGTGAAATCTTTAAACAATGTTAGTTTGTTTTCTTGCTTGACTCCCCACCCACCCCCCAACTCCCCACCATTCCCTTTTCTCCCCATTGACAGATGTGGTTGATTTTTATGAGTTCTGGCCAGTGCTGGGCATTTGCTCCTCACCCCCACTCACCCCTGCGCTGGGAGGCAGACAGTGCCTGAAGCTGTACGCACAGGGAAGTGGGTACATCTCGGAGGCTGCTTACCTGCATGTTGTCGTGAGGCAGCAAGTGGTGGAGGCAGGATGCCAACCTGGGGCCCTTAGCTCCACAGGCGCGGTGTCAGCCCCAAGGGAGCACTGGCACACCCACTGAGTGCTGCCCTCCCCCCTCCCCCACCCCATACTGTCATACTTCTGGATCGTTCCATCTGCTGCCTTGCATTCAGGGTGCTCACCCCTGCAGCATTTCTGTGCTGCCGGACTGTCAGCTGCTTGAGGATGGGGGTGGGATCTTAACCAGCTGGGTCTTTTAAATTCTCAGTTGATGTATTTGTGTAATCGTGAGCCCAGAAGGGTCCATGTAATTAGCTTTAGCCCATGAGCACATTCATATGCCTCTTCAAAGTTAAGAGCAGAAAGGACTGTTAGGACCCACAGAATACCATGGCAGAGGCCCCGGACTCCAACAGTGGCTCCCCCAGACCCTCATGCATGTGCCACATAGACAGTGGCGCTGCAGAGACCCAGACATCTGCTCCACAGGGAGCTGCAGGGAGAGGGGGCACCTCTCACCAGGGTGGCACTCCTCACCATGGTCACCGGGTCTGACCCGGCTACTTGGGATATGTCTCCCAGCAGCAGCCCATTTGGAGACAGAAAGATAATTGCCCCGTGTGGATGACAATCCTTTAGAATTTGCACTAGCTGCTTTTCCCCGGTCTGCGTCTGGGTTTGGATAGTGCCTTCAGCCCTTGGAACACTGCCCCTGGTAAAGTGGCCATGACCTCAGGGGACAACTTGGAGTTGATGGTGCCCACCTCATTCGGCTCTCCAGCTGCCTTCTCTCTGACCTGTCTAGTATCGGTGTCCCAGGATGTGTAGGCTCAGGCTGGCGGAGTTCACGCTTGGCTCCCTGATGTGAAAGTCGGGGCCAGGCTCTGGTGGTGTGAAGGGTGCCTGTGCCTCCAGGGCCAGCCCCTCACCTTGACCTGGCCCAGCGCACCATGCTTTGCCAGGTCAGCCTCTGTGCAGCCTCTCCCCGGCCTGCTCACTCTCTCACAGGGGGGTCACTTTCTGACGTCATCCCTTCAGTAAAAATAGGCCACGATCAAGGACAACTCTGTTCCAAATGCTTTGTTTTAAAAAGAGAGAAGGGGGCAGGGAGGAGACATTGACTTAGGTGACCAAAAACCCCAGGGTAGATCTGCCTTTAAGTGTTCCTTGACCCAGTGTGCCAGAGGCCCCAAGAGACCTGCTCTCCGCTGTCATGGCTCGCAACACCCACAACAGCCCACTCCCCAGGCGTGGAAGCACAAGTGTCCTGAGGGAGCTGCTTGACCCCACAGCACAAGCACCTGGCTGTCCCTGTGGCCCAGAAGACGGATGCCCCGGGCCTAGCCTCCTCCCCAGCAGCAGCCTCAGAAATGCCAAGCTGAGCAGTAGAGGCTATAGCAACTGTGAGGGAGGAGAACGCGCCACTAGATGCTGGTGGAGGGACCTCTGTCCATCCACTGCGCCACCAGCATGCTGACTTAATCCTACTGCCATCCCCAGCACTGATCACACACAACCAGGAGTGTCGTAATCCTACCCGGCGTTCAGAAACCAGGCCAATCTGTTTCCCTGCTGGTGGATTCCAAAACGGCTTGTTCTGGTGGGTGCAATTACTTTGCTAAGATAAGCCTCCGCTCCCGATGCCGTCGCAGATCAGAGATGTAGACAGCCAGTCGGACCGTGCTGAGCCTGCATCTGCCAGCTGAGTGCAGAGCTCCCCATCCACTCGCTGACACTTTTCCCTCTCAGAAGTTTGAGGAAGAAATGAAAGGAACTGTTCTGAGTCACAGAGGAGCAGAGAAAGAACATGGGAGCCTCGAGAAGTCGTGCCTATGCTACTTAGAGGGGGCAGAGTCCCAAGGATGACCCCCCAAACTTCCAAGTGGGGGGTGCAGAGGTGACTGCAGACTGAGGACAGCCGTCCAAACCCTGGTTCTTCAAAGGAAAGGAGATGTTCTCAAGCTCACCCTGGAAGCTTGCTGTCCCCTGGCAAACTTCTCATCAGATGGGCTGAGTGAGGTATGGTTTGGGAATGCTTTGCTAACACCTGTGTGGGCTCCACGACCGCCTCCTGTTAGAGAACTGGGTCCTTCCTTCGGCAAACGCTTCTGGCTACAGTCTGTGTTCTCTGGAAGGTCCGCGTTTCCTGGGAGGAGAAAAGCTGCAAGTTCCCCTCAGACGAGCCCCCATCTCCTCTCCTGGAATGTGCAGCAGCCTCCTAAGTTGTTCTTCCTGCTTCTTCTCTGCGCCCCCCCCCCCCGGCCCCTCCCCTGTTATCCTCACTCCTTGTCCCCTGCTCTTCACACCCGCCTCACCCAGGCCTCTGCTCCAGGCTCCCCTCCCTGTGATGCTCATCTGCCACACCTTCTTTCCTTTGGCGTTCCTCTCCTTTCCCTTTGTTCTTTTTCCTTATCTTTTCCGCCTTGTTTCTCCCCATTTAATTCTCAACCATGGCTTGACTCCTCAGAGATGATTTTCCTCACCCTCTCAAGTGCAGGAGCACGCCCCCACCTCGTCACTCGTCTCTGCTTGCTTTCCGTTATCTGCAGCGTGGTACCTTGTTTGTTTCCCGTCTGTCCCTGCTGGCCGTCAGCTCCTCGAGCGGGGCTGTGCCCATTCTGTGGCCTTGTTGCTCCGACGTGACCTTGTCGTAACCAGTTACATGTCCACCATCCCGATTCCCAAACAAGTTCATATTCTGGAGCACTGGGACCCGGATTTCAACATGTGGTTTGTTGGCACAATTTAGCTGATAGCGTAAAGCAATTGCTGGGGCTGTGTCCATCAGACTCTGTGGTAATAAGGCCTAGCCCTAGAGCCAGGCAACCTTAGTGCTATCTGCCGCCTAGGCATGAGAAGGTATGGGGAGCCTGAGCCTCCCAGGAAGCTAGTGCCTCTTGTTTGGCTTTGTAACTCATCTTTGCATTCTAAATGATATTTTCCTACTTTGTTCTGCTCATTTTTCTCTTGTACTCAACGAGCCTGCCTTCTGAGTTTTCCAGTTGTAGCCCCACCCTTGGGCCAGGCCCTCCTTCCTGAGATTGCCACCTGAGTGGGCACCATCTCCAGGAAGGTGACCTGGGTGACAGGTGAAGCTAAGGATAAAAATGGACTTGAGGAGCCTAGACATCATCTCCAAGGAAATGACACTGGAGATGGGTCTGATGGGGTGAATTAGAGGAGCATCTAGAGAAGTGGGGGGACAGTACCCCAGACCGGGATTAACATTGGCCAGGGCATGTTGTCATCAGGGGTGGGAGAGTTCTGGATATTCACAGATTTTTCGAGGAGCCGAGCTCCTTGAAATGGGCTCAGAGTCTGGACAGCAGGCTGAGAAGGGCCTGCCCACTCCAGGATGCTCAGGCTTTGACCAAGAATGTGGCACAAGCTGGAAAAGTATTGTTAGCAGAGAAGTAATGAGACTAAGTTTATGCTTAGAACTTAGGGGGGAATTCAGAGATGGGGTGGTTCATGATTGTCTTGGGAAGAGACAGTGAGGATGTGGAGGCAGGCATTTGGGAGAGAGGAGGGAGAGGAAGGAGGCCTCTCACCGCATTTGTGAGGTAGAACAAGAGATGGCACCCCTCAGGGTAATGAGGGGGTGATGAGGGATTTTCTTTACGTTCTGACTGGAGTAACTGAGTTAAGAGGAAATGGGAAACTCTTACAACTCAACAATAAAAAGACAGATAACCCAATTAAAAAATCAGCAAAGGACTTGAATTGACATTTCTCCAAAGAAGAGGTACAATGGCCAACAGGCACATGAAAAGATGCTCAGTGTGATTAGTCACTAGGAAAATGCAAAGAAAACAACAAGATACCACCTCACGCCCAGGAGGAAGGCTATAGTTCAAGGAGAAATGGAAACAAGAGTTGGTGATAACATGGAGAAATTAGAACCCTGTGCATTGCTGGTCGGAACACAAAGCTGTTCAGCTGGTGTGGAAAGAGTTTGGCAATTCCTCAAAAAGTTAAACCCAGAATTAACATATGATCCGGCAGTGCCAGTCCTGGGTACGTGCCCGAAAGAATGGAAAGCAGGAACTCAGACTAGTGCATGTGCGTGCATGTTCCTAGCGGTGGGGATTGCGCAATGTGGGGATTGTGCTCATGCTACTGGAGTGTTCACTTGAAAACGGTTACTTCACATCATGTGAATTTTTCCTCAATAAAATGATATTAAAACAACACGTAGGGAACTCAGGAGGAGCAGCTAGTGCATTGCAAGCGCCTGTGGAAGGACTCCATATTTGGGTGCAGCCGGCAGCTGGATGAGCAGACAGAGCTGTGGTTAAACCCCAGCAAGGCTCTGGTTAAACAGAGTGTGAGGCTGACACTGTTCCTT